CTGTGGACGGGGACCCTGTACTGGCCCCCTCCCACCCGCCACTCTCAGGCACGGGAGCTTCGCCCAGAGCTGGGTGAAAAAAGCGGAAGTTGGCCAACGAGCAGACCGCCACTGCACCCCCTCCCCCGGGGGGGCTCTGGTTTACCCGCAGCTTCTTGACCAGGTTCATGTAGGCTCGCTTGTTCTCCTCCATGCTGCCCTGAGAGATGCTGGACATGTCGGCAGCCAGCGTGCCGTTGATCAGCACGCTCAGCATGTCCAGGACCGTGGTGAAGAGCTCGCTGGAAGATCAGGGCCGGAATGGAGGTGTGGTTAGTAGGGTGCACCAGCAGCAGCCACGCTGGCCCCAGGCCAGGCTCTGCACTCATGCGGGGAGGAAGGACTGCGGTATTCACACAGTCCCTCGGGCCTGGAAGACGGATCCCGTCCTGCTAGGAATCGGGATGTGGTTCTCTGCACGGGGCCACTTCTAAGAACCAGGCCGCCAGCATGAAGCCTACATCTGTGACGCGGGGATTTTGGCCCAGCCTGTCCTATGAGGCCTCTGCAGACAGGTGGGCAGCGCGACCCTCATCACAATCAGATTGTCTCCTGTGACCCTAATGGAGCTGCTGAGGGGGTGGGGGGTCCTTGAGGAAGGGAAAGCTCACTTGTTGGACTGCATGTCCACCGTGCCACTGCTGATGATGTCCAAGAGAAGCACTGCCCACTCCGTGGTCTGCTGGGTGCTGCGCTGCACTGTGTCGAACATGCCCCCCACCTGGTGGGAAGGACAAAGTGAGCTCCCTCCCCACAAGAAGCCTGGGGGCAGAGGAGGCGAAGTGGCCCTTCCCGCGTCCAAGGGCAGTCTTCACCATACCGGAAGGTGACCCCATGAGAAGGGAAAGTCTGGGGGGGCAGCCAAGGGGAGCAACAGGAAGGCCCTGTCCATTAGTTCCAGTTCTGTCCCCATGTTTTGGGGGGCAGCCCTGGGAGGCAGCAGAACAGAGGGCTTTCCTTCACCCACAGCTCACCAGATTCAGACGCAGCTTCAGCGCCTCGTGCATCAGCTGCTTGGCCTTGCAATCGTCCTGGTACTGGTCTTCTCGCCAGTTAGTCACAATCTAGGAGGACGGCGATGGGATCAGCTCTCGCGCAGTAGGCAAAGCTGCCCAGCCCTGCCAGCTGCTCCGGCTGCATCCCAGAGGCCAAAGGGCTGGGAAAGGGAGGGGCCAGGCCCACGGCAGCAGAAGTCCTTCCCGGAGGAAACGCGGCCAGAGATGCCTCAACCTACCTGCTGAACCTGGCTGTACAAGGAGGTGAGGAGGCCTTCGCGCTGCTCATCCTGGCCCTTCAGGCACGTCAGCACCAGGGACAGGAAGGGCTGCTGGCTCAGCAGCGTCATGCTGCAGGCAAGGGCAGAGTTCGGATCGGGCTTGAGGGGGCTTCCCTCCCTCCCTCCCTCCCTCTCCCCCGGGTCCCTCACCTCTTCTGCTTCTGCCTGTCCCGCTCCTTGCGGGATGAAGACCCCAAATGCTGCCCTTTCTCCAGCTCGTCCCCCGCTGCCTTCAGCACGTAGCCCTGCACTGAGGTTGGCAGCTTGGCGATCAGAGGAGCTACCAGCCACACTCCGGACCGTTCCAAGGAGCTGGATGGGCAAGAGGATGGAGTCAAGCCAGCCCTGATCCCCTGCACCCCCCTACCACCCGCCTCCCCAGACCTTTGCTGACCTAAGGACAGGCTTGGCTTTGGGGTTGGCCGGCATGAGGTTGGGGCAGCTGCCGAGGCTGACAATGCCGTTGCTGGCTGAGTTGGTCTCGGCCGACTGCTGGAACACTTCGATGGTGGCCTTGGCGATGTTCTCCAGGAGGGAATTCATTTCCTGCTGCAGGAGGCAGAGGGAGGAGGGAGTCAGGCTCTTGGGCCAAGAATGGCTCTCTTGCTAACCCTGGAGGACTCCTGGGAGCTGCCCTTCCGCAAGGCCTTCTGAGCCGCGGCAGCTTCTCCCAGGGTCAGAAGCCCGAAAGCCCACCTCAATACCAGCAGCGCCATGCCTTACGTTGTTTGCAGTCTGCTTGATCATGAGCTGCAGTTCGAGCAGCGACTGGCGCATCGTCCATTGGTCCAGGTTCTGGAAGGACGGCAGATGGACAGAGTCTGTCAGGGGACAGCCCTGCTGGCCTCCTGCTCTCTTGGAGAGAGCGTGAATTTCACGGCACCCTCGTCCCTGCGCGTCAAGGGAGAAGAGCCAGCCCATCCAACTTCCCCAGCTGCCGCCACGAGGCTTCTGCAGAGACCGAGGAGCCACCACCTGCCTGGCCAACAATCTGCCATCCCCCCCGCCCCAGCCGAGAAACCTGCAAAATGCGCTTGATCCTCTGCCGCTGGGGGTTCTCGCCCTCCTCGCTGTCGAGCAGCCGATGAGGGTAGCAAATGAGCTGCATCAGCCTCTGGGCCTGGGTGCTGCTCAGGACAGGATCCTGCAAGTCGTTGCTGTCCTCGCACAAGGACTTCAAGCATCGCTCCCCTACCCATTCCTGTGGAAGAGGGAGAAGGGCGTGCCGCTGAGCCTGGTGGCCTCTGGCTCTGCAAGCCACGCCCCAAGCTGGTCCGCGCCCTGCCTCCCGAGGCTTCACAGCGATGGCCACGGGACAGAGGTGCACAGGGTCTCCGTCGAGGAGCCACACTGGCCACTGATCCCAGGCAGCAAACAGCAATCGACAGCTCAGCTCACTGCAAGCCGGAGTTTCGATAAAACGCTTCCCCTCCGAGCCATCGGAGCCTCACCTGCTGACAGATGCTCCTCAGGACGTACTTGGCGTAAACGTCCAGGCTGGCCGTCTCAATGGAAACCATCCGGCCGGCGGGCTTCTTGTCATCGTCCAGGAGGTCGTCCACCCCTCCCGGGTGGGAAAACCCAGAACCCTTCAGTTCGGCATCCCCTGCAACCAGGAGCGGGGAGCGCCTCAGTGGCCTGCCTCAGCCTCCCTGCCCCCCCACCCCCCAGGCTGCTCCAAGCACGTACCCAGGACAAAGACAGCCTTCAGCACTGCAAAGACGGCCCCGTCCACAATGCGATTCTGGGAGGCGGCCAGCAAGTGCCTGTCGCAGGACGAGCGGATGCCCACTGAGGGCTTACCTGCGGGAGAGCCCACGCTTTTAGCCCTGACTGGCTGCTGCTCCAGCCGACACACAAGGCGCCCCAACAATGGGAGAGCCACGGCCCCTGCTTGGCAGTCTGCTCCCCCAGAGCACCCCAACGGCCAAGGGGGTCCCTTTAGCCCAGCACACTGCTTCCAAGATGCAGCTCGAAGCCCGGGCAGCTGCCCGAACCTTCTTCCCGAGAGTTCACCACAGGGCTGCGTCCGTCCAGCAGCGGAGAGTTATACGGCCACGGGGAAGAGCCACTGTAAGGTAGCTGAGGGAGGGAGAGGTGTGACCAGGACTGCCCTGGACAGGGCAAAAGAGGAAGCAGGGAGCAGGAGGAAGGCGGCTCCTGGACTCAAGGTGGGGGCAGCAGCTCAGAGGCTGGTCTAGGGACGCAGATGAGGAAGGGAAGGGCAAAGAGGAGTTGCAGAGACCGGCCCCAGCATGTGCTGGCTTACTGCTATCCTGCTGGCAGGGATTCAGCTGAGGGGTCTTAAACAGATGCAGCAGAATTCGGCAGGTCAGGCGGGCCCCTGGCTCTGAGTCCTGTTCGCTGCAGGCTGCCAACAGAAGTGCAGATTGGTCAGTTGCAATGCCAGCCTTCGGGCTGGGCCATTCTCCTGGTCCGCTTTGGCCAGTGTCCCAGCCGGACACTCACCGGCGTTGAGTAGAGAGGGAATGGCAGCGCAGCGGATCAAGTCCTCCAGAAGGAGACACTGGCGGGCGATGAGGATGGCCACAAAGGTCGCCAGGGAGTCGTGGAAGGACAGGTCGCTCACCTGCAGGAAGGAGAAAGGCAGCATGGCTGAGCCTCCCTCTACATTGCGATCTACCTCCAGAACTGACCTCACTCGAAGTGTCCACCCACAAAAGAAGCCCCCGCAGTGCTGGCCAAATATTCCAGAACTGGATCATAAACCTCATCCCTGAAGAGATGGATCACCGTGATAGAGGAAAGTGTTGGGTCAGCCTGTGATGTCAAGTTTGTGTTTTGGGAGGATCACATCCCGAGCAAACGTGGGCACTGCTGGGACGTCAAGGCAGAGAGAATCAGCGTCCCCAGTTAACGTCAGCAAGCCCCTTTCCCCAGCCTGGGAACTCTGCCTGGAGGGACCACGTGCCTGGCAACAGGGCCCAGCTGTTCTCCCAGGGGAGCATCCTTCAAGCACGCACGCACGCACCCTTCGAGGCACTGATGGACCGACACGTCCTCTTCAGAGCAAAATTCCCCTCCTGCCCCCGCCCTGTCCTGCCCTTACATCCACGTTGCAGAGGAGGTCATTGAAGCCACACGTCCCGTTGTTGGAGGAGCAGCACAGGGCCTTCAGCACCCCCAGCCATTCGGCACTCAGCAGCTTGCAGTACCCCGTCAGCTCCGCACACAGGATTGCAATGTCGTTGACCCTGGTGGGAAAGCAAGGGTTGGTGAGCGCCCAATGGTTGTCTTTTGAAGGCTATTAGACCGGATCCATAGAGAAGCCAGCATTGGCTATCTAGCCTGGAAGTCTGCCTGAAACCTCTTTGAAGACAGAGCTGCTGTATTCACAAGATGCAGAAAAAGCCATAAATTGCTCGAGCAACTAAGTGTGGCTAGTTCAGTAAATCAAGCTTAAAGTAGCAGTTTAACGTGAGGCGTGCATCCAGTCTATACCTCCAGGTTCTAGGAAGTGGGGAGAAGAAAGACAGTGGGCCCGACCTCCTGCTTGCAACTCCTTGCCTGTGAGCCTCCTGGAAGCACCCCTGCCCCCTGAGGGAAGGAGGACGCTTGGAAGAGGCGTCAGCACCGAGCTGAACAAAAACACAGTGGCTCGGCAGGCCTCCCTGTTGGACCTGGCCCGGCCCGGCCCGGCCCAGCCCGGCCCTCACCGATCGGGGTCATGGTGCCCCACGCAGACGTGCATCAGGGCATTGCACACGAAGCTGTAGCGGTTGGCTGGGTTATCTGCAAGGCTCTTGCCCAGGTTGGTGTAGGTGAAATTGTGGGCTGAGGGATTCTCAATGGTATCAATCATAAACAAGGGTTCCCACAGCATGTTCGAGTCTGATGGCTCCACGTTGCAGTAGATGGTGTTCTTCACCTTGGAGCAGAAGTCGCTGCAGGAAAAGGAGGAGGTAAGCCTTGTTGCAAACCCCGGCGGGCCCTCTCGCTTCCCGGGGCTCTCCAAGTCCCCCTGCTCAGGTGCAGAGGCCTTGGAGGGAGCCAGGCTTGGAGCTGGAAGAGGCTTGCAAAAGCAGCCCCAGACAGCAGGGCACTGACCTGAAGAGCTCTCCAAATTTACTCTTGAGGTGACTGCAGGACGTGTACAGGTCATAGAGGTAGGCCAGGATACAGCGCTCTGCCGAAGAGCCATCCGAGCGGTTCATGCCGTGCTTCACCACCCCACACAGCCTGGGTGAGCAGGAGAGATGCCAAGTGGGAGGGAAGCCGGGTATGGGCAGAGCCACCTCACCGGGTGCGAGTGGCTGCTGGATCAGCTGCCCCCCACCCTCCCGAGGGAGACAGATCAAGGAGCACCAGCAGCCTCCCCCTTTAGGCTGCCAGAAAAGCTCCACAGCAATGCAGTGAGGCTCACCCTTCGAAGACTTGGGCCATCTGATCCTGGTTGAGGATAAGGCAGGAGTGATAATGCCGCAGGACGGCCACGATGCACAGGCACAGGCTGGTAGTGTAGCTGCCCACCAGGTCAGAGGACTTCAGCAGCAACTCGGCCTCCACCACACTCAACTCGTTCAGCAGCTGACCAGCCATCCAGGATCGTGCAGAAGAAGGGCCAGAGGGGTGGGGGTAAGAAGATGAACGGACCGGCTTGCAGACACCCTCCCGACCCCACCTGGAGGTGGGAGGGCTTAAAAGGCAGTTTCCAAGTGAAATGTGGAGTTGGGGAGGAGCTAGAAGGTGAGCAACTCCTGCCATGGCTCTATGCATCCACGTTGGCATGTGCAACTGCAGGCCCACCGTCTCACGTTGTTAAGTCAGAGCCTCAAATGGAGGCCGAGCATTTCTAAAGTGAGGAAACGGATGTGCTCTTTACGGCAAAAGAATGGGAAGGGGCCAGTTATTTACGCGTGTTCCTTGCGCACGTTTTGTACTGCTTGTGCCCTTCCAGGCTTGGACATGCGAAAAGGCCTTTGGGTGAAAGGGAGGAGCCATTTAAGCCCAGCTTCCAGCGTGACCATTCCACCCGAACGAGCTGAGTGACACACTGCAGAGCCCGAGCCCGAGCCCGAGCAAAAGCGGAGGACGTTTCAGCCACAACGAGCCCAGGTTCTGCCACCCACCCACCTGGATGGCAAAGTCGATAAGCCCGCTGATGTTGAGTGAATACTCCATCAGGTCGAAGATGAACTGGATGTGCTGCACCAGAGGCAGATGGTAGGACATCCCTAAGGCAAAGCTGGTGATCTGCTCCAAGACGTTCCGAGATACCTAAAGGAGGGAGCATGGTGGCTGGTGGTCATCGCCAGGGTCCCTGAGCCCAGGGTACAGCCATGCAGCCCCGCTGTTCTCTCCCAGCCTCAGACCCTGCCCTCAGACAGAGGGCACGTACCTGAGAGGTGACGAGGTGCTGGTCAAAATGAGAAAGGTGCTGGAATTTTGCAAAGATGTCCTCTGCAGTCGGGAAGGCTTCCGGCTTGTTCCTCTTCCTTTTCTGCCCTTCCTCTCCCCCTGCCCAGGGAAGACGCGCTGGCGTGACTTCTGCAGCTGCTTCCCATTCCCAAACCATCCCACAGGCTTCCGTACAGCCCTTGGGTTTGGGCAGCCCCACAAACCTGTCTCTGCCGTGCTTTTCCTGTTGAGCACCTTCAAGATATCCTTGCTTATTCTTTTGATGGCGTGACGCGCCTCATCACGCTGCTTCCCAACTCCAAAAAGGACCACCAGCCTCTGGTTGCACTCGTGGCTGCTTGATTCCTCCTGAGAAAGTGGGAAATAGGGAAACAGCAGGTACCAGAGGCTGTTGATGGGGAGATTCTCCAGGCAGACCCTTCCTTTTGGAGGAAAGGCGCCTTCCGCAGACTCCCATGCGTAGCTGTCTGTAACTCAGTGGCTCACCTGAAGCGGGAAGAGGCCTCACCAGGCCCCTGGCTCATTCACCCGGAGGCCCAACAAATGACAGCTCTTCCCACTGCCTGCTCCCTGACTCCTCCACACGGGGAGCCCTGGACTGAACTGGCCACTGCCTGCAGGCCAGGCCTGCACTGTGACCCCTCTCCTAAATCAAGAGCCTCCTCCACCAGGGAGAGGAGAACTGCCATGGCTCAGCAGCATCAGCTTCTGCTTGAAAGAAGCCGCAGCGCTAAACAGCCATCCGCCAGGTCTCCTGGCTTCCCAGGCTGGAAAAGACGGAGACACCCCACGTGCTGGGTGGATTCACCCTACATGCTGAGCCCAACCCAAGGAGCCCATGTTATGGCTTAGCACAATGCAGCTTTGTGTAACAAAAACAGAGCAGAATCGTGAACTGATGCAGAGAGGGAGTTAAAGCTCCAAACAAACAACTAGATTTGCACGACAGCCTGACAAGCACAGGAAAGCAATACCCCGCCCCGGCACACTTCCTATTTTCCTCCCCAGCCATTCCAGTGTGTCGCATCTTACCTGCGGAATGGGGAAATGCGTGCAGTACTGGATGTGCCGAGGCTGGTCGTAAAGTGCTGCCAACGTCCCATCTGCCACCCTGTCCTTCTCAGGGTCCAGTTTCTCTGGGGAAGGGCTGGCTTTGGACTCACAGTGCATGGAAGGAGAGAACATCTGGGCGGGAGGGCGACAGGGAAAAGGCAGAAAGGTGAGGTGACACTGCGTCTTGGCAGGGAAAAACTCTGCTCCCGAAAGGTAGGCTCCCAGGAGACCAGTCAGGACTGAGGCCAGCTGGCCAGCTCTTCCCCAGCAGCACCCCCTTTCCCAAGTGCCAGGCTTCTGCCTCTCTCTGCCCAGCATCCCGTGGCTTTCGCTCCCCTTGAGGCCACCACAGGCCCCCAGAGAGACCAGGCTGGGCCTCCATCCACCCCAGGCACGTCACTCAAGGGAAGAGAGGCTCCGAAGGCAGAGGAAACCAAGGGAGGGATCTGAGGCAGCCCTGCCACATCTCCAGGAGGATGGGCTTCCCAAGGACTAGGCCAGGATGCCCCGGCAAGGTCCTACCGAGAAATCAGTCTTCTCCATGTCGTCAAAGATGACACTGGAACTGTGGTCGATGTCCATGTGGCACTCCGACAGGCCTGCATCCTGGGAGAGAGAAGGAACAAGGCGTCCCCCTGCTGTGCTCCAAAGCCGAAACAGCCCCAGTCCCCCCCGATCAGAATGGGCAGGGGCTTTCGGATCCAACCTCCAACTTGATGCCGTGGCTGCCTTCCCGCTCCTTCCGGTCATGCTCTTCCGTGGCATCGTCAAAGGGCGAGGCAGGACGGGGCCCGTGGTCGATGGCCAGGTCGCCGCGAGAGATCAGGGTGCACATGTACATGTTGGGTGAGAAGACGTCGTGCCGGATCAGCTCACAGAAGAGCAGGACCAGGTTGAAGAACTCCACCCTCTCGTTCTCGTTGCTGGGGTCAGCTGCCAGGGGAGGGGAGGGGAGGGGAGGGGAGGGGGACATGAGGAGCCTGGCCTGCTTCTGCACAGCCATCTCCTGGCCCAGCCCCACCCATCCTCGCCAAGGGCGCAGGCCGCAGCCAGGACAGCCAGCTGCGGACGCAGAACAGCCAGGAGCTGGACTTGGGTGATACTTAGCCGTACTCAGCATTGGAGCCTGAGTGTCCAGGAACTGCATGAGGACCTCTTGGAAGACCGGGGCGCTCACTGCCGAGAGGGAACCCGAAGCGATGGAGCCTTTTTCGTCTACTACCTCTGAGTCGCCACACCGCTGAGCACAAACGCAAGAGTGGACGGCCATGAGCCCCACACTCTGCCACCTTGCCTCTCCCAGAAAGGGCCCCCAAGCCCACACTTGGTCCCTTTCAGCAGAGCTTCCACTGGAACAAGCACACCCACCCCTCAGTCACGGGACTGGGATGTTTTTGCGGCCTCATCTCCCGCAGGGCCTGCCTCCTCTCAAGCAAGGGATCTGCGCTGCCCCCTCCCTTTCCCAGGACGGTCTTTTTGTGTTGCCCCTGGGCTTTGGAACCTTTCACACCCCCTTCTCTCTGGTATATATATGTATATGTATATGAATATGTATATTTCACAGGCTTTATTATTTTTTCTCCTTTTTCATGTTTAGTGAATGGTTTTAAGAGCTTTCTGAAGAATTTTCCAGCGTTCTGGATGTTGCGTTCATTTATTTTTGCAAAATATTCAAATGAGCACTCCAAGGACCCTGCACCTAACAGGCAATTACAAAGTTCTTGGGGGTGAAAACAGAGATTTGTAAACTGCTTTGAGGTCAAAACGTCTTGACCCCAGACGTCCAGTTCCAACCTCAAAAGTGTTCCAGCCTCATCAGAAATGCTCCAGCCTTGTCTGTGGCCAGGATGGTCCATTGTGATGACAGAACTCTCTCAGTCAAGTCAAAATGGGACTTTCTGGGTCAGAATATTAACCCCCAACACACATTCTCTTTTTAAATGGAATACTCTCCCTGCCCTGCCTGGCCTTCTCAGGGGACCCTCCCCACCAATCCCTGTGGAAACGTTGCCACGCTCACCTCAGCCTCTATTTCAGACTGCCGCTTCTCCAGCAACTTTGCCACCACCATTGCCCGGTGCCGCCCCGACCGCTTGTGGCTCACGGCCCACTCGCAGAGCAGGGCCACTACAGCATCGTCATCAGGGGAGATCTGCCAGGAAAGCAAGTGGGATAATGTGCTGGAAGCGCCCGTCTGCCCTTCTCCCCGGCCTTCAGCCTTTCTCCCCACAAGCTCCAAGCATCCCACGGCTCTAACTCCCCCCACGAAATCACAGCTCAGTGGCCAGGGCTGCGGCTCCTTTTCAACCACTGCGAAGGGAGTGACAGTCAACTGGAAAGGTGCAGCCACTTCCTCCAGCCTCCCCCACCCCACAGAGAACCACCAGCCTCCGCCAAGACCTACAAGCTGTCCTTTCCCCTGGTTTATGTCTCTGGCTCACCAGCTGGTAGTCTCTGAACATGCAGGCTACCTCTAGCCACCACGGAGAGATCTCTCCTCCTCCATGAATTTAATTCGCCCATTTTAAAATGATTTAGGCTAGGAGCCATTACCACCTCCTGGCAGCAGCAATTCAAAGCTGGCCACCTGAGTCGACTGCACAGTCATAACAGTACTGCTTTGGCAGTGCATTGTGCACTAGCGGAGAGTATACCCCGCAATGGCCCCTGGATGCAGGAGGCATCCCCGTCCAGAACCACCTCCTCCTCCGATCATGCCCTGTTCCTGTTGGCACCTATTGCCCCACAGCTGACCACAAGTGGAAAAGCCCAAATCCCTTTCTGCTACCTCGTGACTGTCTTTGCTCGGTCCTCCCCCGAATATCCTGTTGTACAGAGAATCCAATGAGTTGCTAAAGTCCGAACGTTCAAAACTGTGACTGTCAAGGACTTCTAAAGTGTGGAGCACTCGGCTTATGGTGAATCCTGGAATGGAAAGCAGGAGATCAGAGGCAAGAAGCAGAGTGTCAGACATCGGGCAGGGAGCCCCACTGCCTGCAGAGCATATCGCTCCTACGAGAAGAGAGGAACGGAGGAAGAGGCGCTAAGCAGACGAAGAACAGAGAATGGCAATCCATCTGCTCAGATATAGATGCAGTGAGGAAGTGGGGCAGTTGGATGGGGTGTTACCTGCAGTGGCTTCCTGGCATTTGTCGAAGGACCAGCGCACTTCCACGGCCTGGCCACGCTCCTTGATCTGCTGCTCTGTCTCCCGGAGCCTTGCTCGGACCTGGCAAGGCAGGCATGTCAGAGAGAGGCCCTGGAGCCTGCAAGGATTCTGGGCTGGCCCAAGAAGTGAGGGATGGAGCAAGCCTGGCACAACACGCACCCCCCCGGGTCGACCTCTGCACTGGCACCCTGGGGACTGGAGGTGAACCAGTCCCAGATGTGGGTGCTGCTCACCTGCTGTATGAAGCTCGCATTGACCCCTGGCATGGGCAGGTTTGAGGGGGCAATTGGCAGATGGTCAAGGGGAGAGCCCGTCTTGATTCTGCTGTCAGTGAGAGAGTAGTGCCAGACGAGGGCGCTGGGGCAACACAGGACGATACTCTGAAGGCAGAGAAGAAGGGAGGGGACAAGGAGGGTGTTGAGCTCTCTGGTACAGCAGGAAGGTCGCCTTGACTGCCATCCCTCCAAGCTAGGGAGGCCATCTGTTTCCTGGGGCAGTTCTGTGGTCCCCAGCCAGCCCTCAGAGGCTCAACAATTCCCTCAGTGTTCTCTGATCCCCCTCCCCAAAGTCAAACATTCCCTGCATACTTTTACCCTCCTTCCTCGCTGGCTTCTCTGTGCCTCCCAGTGGTGAACCACACCTGCTAGGATTTTAAGGGCAAGCCCTGTCCACAACCGTGGGCTACATACGTAGCTGGGCAGTAATAAGGGAACGTGCCCAGCTGGGCTGTCCTGAATGCAGCCTGATGCTCCGTAGTCCTTCCTACCTGCCCTCCTGCTAAGTAAACAAGCCAGGAGAAGCCTGAGCGATTTGTTCCATGCGCCTTCTGAAGGGCCGTCCTCTCAAACAATGTCCCAGTCCTCAAGCGTTGTTGTGACCCCACTGCTCTCTGGGGCCTCACTTCTCCTCCTACAAGCGCACCTCTCGCCTCCTCCCAACCCCCGCTAGACATCTGCAAAGACCAAGCACTGGTCACACCGCCCTCACTTGCCTGGAGGATGCAGCTGAGCCCAAACACAACTGGGCGGTGCTGGGGACACAGCAGCAGGTCACTGAAGGGGCTGGCAGATGAGTTTCCTGCAGCTGGCTGGGGAGTGGGGGTGGAGGGGAGCGCAGGGGCCGACTGGGATGGAAGATGGTGAGCTGGGTGCCCACCGCTGGCATCCAACAGAATGGCAAGGCGACGGGTGCAGAAGTAAGCCAGGCGCCTGGACAGGTAGGCAGACTGCACAAACTCACTGGAATACTGTTGCAGGAGAAGAGAGAACGGGAAAGGACGCTCGGAGCTGGAGGATTAGCAGGGCCACAGCTTCGGCTTAGCCGAGGACCCCGCTGCTCTCTGCGGCCTCATTCTCATGACCGACTGGGCATTCCTTCAAGGCCCAGCCCATGAGCTTCTTCCCTCCGTGTTATGTGCTGCTGAACTGAGGCAAGATGCCCACTCAGCTAAAGCCTTCCCTTCTTTGCAAGGCTTACTCCAGTTCTCCCGTTTCAACCCTCAAGTTTCAAGCACACCCAGATGTCCAAAGAGCTACTCTTCTGAGATCACTGAGGGAGGGGCGGCTGACCTGCAGGAGCAGAGGCAGGAGCAGCTTCAGCAGCTCATCCTCGCCCGGGCGAATCTTCTCAAAGCACTCAAGCACCCAGGTCAGGAACTCGTGCCGGTCCAGCATCCCATCCTGGAAGAAGCGGGCAGAGCCCCTCAGTGAGAAGGCAGGTGGGCTGAGCTCACCGATCTTCAGTCCAGTTCCCACCAAAGGGGAACTGGTCACGGGACCCCGCAGGCCAAGCAGCGGCAACCGCCCCTCCCTCCCCGCCCTCACCTGGAACATAAACATGGCAAGCTTCTCATTGTAGTCCCACTGCTTCACCGAATGCTCCACCTCCTGGGGCATGATGCTGGAGGGTGAGCCGCAGGCCTGCGCCAGTAGCTGCCGATGAAAGTCGGCAATCTTCTGCAGCTGCTCCCAGAGAAATTTGGTGATAATCTGCGTCCACTCTAGAAGGGGAGAGCAGCAGTCAGCAGAAGAGACGGGGCTGGACCCAGAGCAGGACTCAACACGCTGAGGATGCTTTCCGTGCAGGGGAGAGAAAGGACGGTGGAGGGGGCAAAGCCAGGCCATCCTGGGGACTCCGGTGCAGAAGAAGTGGCCGCCGTGGAAGGAGGCTCAGGGAGGCCCAGATCAACCCAACCCTACAGCGTTACATTGATCCTGGGGGATTCAAGGCAGGAGCAGCAGCTCTTACCGCTGAAGGGGTCAATGACATGCCGCTTCTTCACCTTCGTTTCCGTAATGGCGGCGTAATAGGCGCAGGTCATCTTGATCAGCCAGGCAGCTCTCATCACGGGCACTGTGTACTTGGCCAGGTAACCAAATATCTCCTCCTTCTTGCTGAATATGGGCACCTGCCAGAGAACAGAATAGGAGACGGGCGATGCAGACATGGCAGTTTTGTCAGAGACCCGTGCGGGTGGGTGCACTGGGAAACCAGTCCTCCCCTGAGCCGCAGCCACTGCTCTCCTTGCAGCAGACACAGTATTTCGCTAGCCCAGTCTCATTCTTAGACCTCCCTCCGCAGCACCCTGCTTATCCTGCAGCTCTGCATCGTGTTTGGGTCTCCAAGAGTTCCTGGTCATGCCTGGCTTTCTTGCCCTGCCTAACCACGACCCTTAAAGGACCCACCTCCCCCCCGCAGGGCATCTCTCTCCTTGTCCAAGCCTTTACTGAAGCAGCCCGACAACCCACCCCGACAGCTTACAGATGCTCTGGGCCTTCTGGCCTCAGCCACCCCTTCATTAGTTCTTGATCTTGGGAGCCTTGGCAGCGTGGTACCTTTTTAGCCAGGTGGGTGAGGGGTTTGGTTCCAGCCAGATCGTTGAACCAATTGTTAATTGCACTCTGGGAGCGAGCCGTCACAAGCCAGAAGTTATCCTTTTGGTTCACCTGTGGTTTCCGACGGCCTGTGTCGGGCAGCGTGTTGCAGCGCAGCTTTTCAGCAATGATGCTGCTGAAATTTGAACTGATCTGGAAAGAGGAAAAGGAGCTTGCGGCCCTTCTGTAGCCACCAGGCGCCCTGTGGAAGCACCAGCCTCCCTTCCCTCGAAAGCAGCGGCTTGGCTTCACCAACGCAGCGCACCTTCCCCTCCACCGTTAAAGCTTCCAGGAGAGCCACCAAGGATAAATGGCCTCTTTCCTCTGCAGAGCTCCCTCCTGACACCGGTGCCCTCTCCCTCCTTTTGAGAGGCTGGGGTTTACCGATGCAGCCCCACAGGAACCTGACGTCTCACAGCCCGAAGGCACTGCCAGGCCCGTGAGGCCTGCCGGGCAGCACAACGTTTTCGACACCCCTTCACAGCTGCCCCTCCCCTTCCTCATTTCTGCTGCCCGGAGCGCCCCCGGTGCCCTCAGAATCCAGACACCAGATTCAGGACAAGGGAACAGCCAGCGAGTGCTTGCAGGGGCACGCGAGGACGGGCAGGCGGACCCCGCGCTTCTTCCGGGCTCAGCGTCTGCACCTCCCAGTTGCTGTTTTCGACCCAGGGGCCCAGAGCGGTCCAGAGGGCAGACCTCACCTTGGCGGGGTTGAAGTTGACGTTTTTGGCACTGCCGTGTTCATCTCCGGAAACAGCGGGCTGGTTGTTGAAGCCCTGCTTCACGTTGAGAGCCGTGAGCTCGTCCTGGGGGAGGACGCGAGAGTCACCCAGAGCCCCCGCTGGGAAGGGTCAGGAGACCGCGCCCCTCGCCCAACAGATGCGGGTCGGACATCCAAGGGAATCGCTGACCTCCTCGGGACGGACTAGAATTCATCCTCGCTCAGACACGGGCCGGCGGGG